TCACCACCATCACTACCACCATCACCACCATCATCAACACCATCACCACCATCACCACCACCACCACCATCATCATCACCACCACCATCACCACCATCACCACCATCACCACCACCACCATCACCGTCACCACCACCATCACCACCACCATCACCACCATCACCACCACCATCACCACCATCACCACCACCATCACCACCATCACCACCACCATCACCACCATCATCAACACCATCACCACCATCACCACCACCACCATCACCACCACCACCATCACCACCACCATCACCACCACCATCACCACCATCACTATCACCACCACCATCACCACCACCATCACCATCACAACCACCACCATCACCACCACTACCATCACCATCACCACCACCATCACCACCACCACCACCATCATCACCACCACCACCATCACCACCACCACCATCACCACCACCACCATCACCACCATCACCACCACCATCACCACCATCACCATCACCACCATCATCAACACCATCACCATCATCACCACCACCACCATCACCACCACCATCACCACCACCATCACCACCACCATTATCACCACCATCACCACCACCACCACCATCACCACCACCACCACCATCACCACCATCACCACCACCATCACCACCACCACCACCATCATCACCACCACCACCATCACCACCACCATCACCACCACCATCACCACCACCACCATCATCACCACCACCCCCACCATCACCACCACCACCATCATCACCATCACCACCACCACCATCACCACCACCACCATCATCACCACCACCACCACCACCATCACCACCACCATCACCACCATCACCACCACCATCACCACCATCACCACCACCATCACCACCACCACCATCACCACCACCACCACCATCACCACCACCACCATCACCACCACCACCATCATCACCACCACCATCACCACCACCACCATCACCACCACCACCACCATCATCACCACCACCATCACCACCACCACCATCACCACCACCATCACCACCATCACCACCATCACCATCACCACCACCATCACCACCACCACCACCATCACCACCACCACCACCATCACCACCACCATCACCACCACCACCATCACCACCATCACCATCACCACCACCATCACCACCATCATCAACACCATCACCACCATCACCACCACCACCATCACCACCACCACCATCACCACCACCATCACCACCACCATCACCACCATCACTATCACCACCACCATCACCACCACCATCACCATCACAACCACCACCATCACCACCACTACCATCACCATCACCACCACCATCACCACCACCACCACCATCATCACCACCACCACCATCACCACCACCACCATCACCACCATCACCACCACCACCATCACCACCACCATCACCACCATCACCATCACCACCATCATCAACACCATCACCATCATCACCACCACCACCATCACCACCACCATCACCACCACCATCACCACCACCACCATCACCACCATCACCACCACCACCACCATCACCACCACCACCACCATCACCACCATCACCACCACCATCACCACCACCACCACCATCATCACCACCACCACCATCACCACCACCATCACCACCACCATCACCACCACCACCATCATCACCACCACCCCCACCATCACCACCACCACCATCATCACCATCACCACCACCACCATCACCACCACCACCATCATCACCACCACCACCATCACCACCACCATCACCACCATCACCACCACCATCACCACCATCACCACCACCATCACCACCACCACCATCACCACCACCACCACCATCACCACCACCACCATCACCACCATCATCACCACCACCATCACCACCACCACCATCACCACCACCATCATCACCACCATCACCATCACCACCACCACCACCATCACCACCACTACCACCACCACCACCATCACCACCACCATCACCACCACCATCACCATCACCACCACCATCACCACCACCACCACCACCATCACCACCACCACCATCACCACCACCACCATCACCACCACCACCATCACCACCATCACCATCACCACCATCATCACCACCACCATCACCACCACCACCATCACCACCACCATCACCACCATCACCATCACCACCACCATCACCACCACCACCACCATCACCACCACCACCACCATCACCACCACCATCACCACCACCACCATCACCACCATCACCATCACCACCACCATCACCACCACCACCATCATCACCACCACCACCATCACCACCATCACCATCACCACCACCATCACCACCACCACCACCATCATCACCACCATCATCACCATCACCACCACCACCATCACCACCACCACCATCACCACCATCACCATCACCACCATCATCACCACCATCACCATCACCACCACCATCACCACCACCACCACCATCACCACCACCACCATCACCACCATCATCACCACCACCACCATCACCACCACCACCATCACCACCACCACCATCACCACCACCATCACCATGAAATCTCCCACCCCAGGTGGTGAGGCTGTGTGGGGCCATGGTGGATGCAGGCCGAGGCTTCACTCAGGCGAGCCGCCTCTTTGTGGGCGGCCTCAGGGACCTCTCTGGCCACTGCTCCCAGGACGCCGTCATCTCGGTGAGAAACCCCCCTCGTATCACCCCACAGTGGTACAGTCCACACCGCCAACAGTGGCGCCCGGAACGGACCATTACACAAAATAGGGGGGGACTGGGACACTTGGATAGTCCATTAAACATCCCATTAACCCCTCTCCCCCTCGTATCACCCCACAGTGGTACAGTCCACACCGCCAGCAGTGGTGCCCGGAACGGACCATTACACAAAATAAGGGGGGAAATGGGACACTTGGATAGTCCGTTAGACAACCTATCAACCCCCCTCTTATTACCCCAGTGGTACAGTCCACACCGTCAACCGTGGTGCCCGGAACGGACCATTACACAAAATAGGGGGGAACTGGTACACTGGGATAGTCCATTAAACATCCCATTAACCCCCCCCCCCTCGTATCACCCCACAGTGGTACAGTCCACACCGCCAGTAGTGGTGCCCGGAACAGACCATTACACAAAATAGGGAGGAAACGGGACACATGGATAGCCCGTTATACAATCTATCAACCCCCCTCTTATTACCCCACAGTGGTACAGTCCACACCGCCAGCAGTGGTGCCCAGGACGGACCATTACACAAAATAGAGGGGGAACTGGGACACTGGGATAGTCCATTAAACAACCCATCAACCCCTCCCCCCCTCTTATAACCCCACAGTGGTACAGTCCACACCGCCAGTAGTGGTGCCCGGAACGGACCATTACACAAAATAGGGGGGAAATGGGACACTGGGATAGTCCATTATACAACCCATCAACCCCCACCTCTTGTAACCCCACAGTGGTACAGTCCACACAGCCTGAAGTGGTGCCCGGAACGGACCATTACACAACATAGGGGGGAAATGGGACACTGTTATAAGCCATTAAACAACCCATCAACCCCCCCTCGTATCACCCCACAGTGGTACAGTCCACTCCACCAGCAGTTCCGCCTGGGACGGACCATTGCAAAAAATAGGGGGGAAACGGGACAATAGCATAGTCCATTAAACAACCCCTCAACCTAACCCCCCCTCTTGTAACTCCACAGTGGTACAGTCCACTCAGCCAACAGTGGCGCCCGGGACGGACCATTACACAAAATAGGCGGCAATCGCGACACTGGGATAGTCCATTAAACAACCCATCAACCCAATCCCCCCTCTTGTAACTCCACAGTGGTACAGTCCACACAGCTAGCAGTGGCAGCCGGGATAGACCATTACACAAAATAGGGGGGGAAACGGGACACTGGGATAGTCCATTAAACACCCCCTCAACTCACCCCTCCTGTAACCCCACAGTGGTACAGTCCACACCGCCAGTAGTGGCGCCCGGGAAGGACCATTACACAAAATAGGGGGGAAATGAGACTGATATAGTCCGTTATACAACCCCTCAACCCCCCCTCTTGTAACCCCACAGTGGTACAGTCCACACCGCCAGCAGTGATGCCCGGGACGGACCATTACACAAAATAGGGGGGAAATGGGACACTGGGATAGTCCATTAAACAACCCATCAACCCCCCCTCTTATAACCCCACAGTGGTACAGTCAACACAGCCAGCAGTGGCGCTCGGGACAGACCATTACACATAATAGGGGGGAAACTTGACACCACTGGGATTGTCCATTAAACAACCCATCAACCCCCCCCCTCTTATAACGCCATAGTGGTAGAGTCCACACAGCCAGCAATGGCGCTCGGGACAGACCATTACACATTATAGGGGGGAAACTTGACACCACTGGGATAGTCCATAAAACAACCCGTCAACCCCCCCTATTGTAACCCCAGAGTGGTACGGTCCACTCGGTCAACAGTGGCACTCGGGACAGACCATTACACAAAATAGGGGGGAAACTTGACACCACTGGGATTGTCCATTAAACAACACATCAACCCCCCCTCTTATAACGCCACAGTGGTGCAGTGGCAGCCGGGACAGACCATTACACAAAATAGGGGGGAAACTTGACACCACTGCGATAGTCCATAAAACAACCCATCAACCCCCCCTATTGTAACCCCAGAGTGGTACGGTCCACTCGGTCAACAGTGGCACTCGGGACAGACCATTACACAAAATAGGGGGGATCTGGGCCACTGGAATAGTCCGTTATATGAAGCCCCACCCCTCTGTGTGCGTGATGTGTTGGCAGGGTCCCCTAAACCGGTTCGCTGATGGACTTCAGGAGCTGACCAACCACAACGCAGTGAGGGTCTCACACACACACACCCAGAGACACACACACTCTGTGTGTGTGTCTCTGGGTGTGTCACTGTGTGTACACTGTGTGTGTGTGTCACTGTGTGTGTGTCACTGTGTGTACACTGTGTGTGTGTCACTGTGTGTGTGTCTCTGTGTGTGTGTGTGTGTGTCACTGTGTGTACACTGTGTGTGTGTCACTCTGTGTGTGTGTCTCTGTGTGTGTGTGTCACTGTGTGTACACTGTGTGTGTGTGTGTCATTGTGTGTGTGTCACTGTGTGTACACTGTGTGTGTGTGTCACTGTGTGTGTCACTGTGTGTGTGTCACTGTGTGTGTGTCACTGGGTGTGTGTCACTGTGTGTACACTGTGTGTGTGTGTGTGTCACTGTGTGTGTGTCACTGTGTGTGTGTGTGTATGTGTGTGTCACTGTGTGTGTGTCACTGTGTGTGTGTCACTGTGTGTGTGTCACTGTGTGTACTCTGTGTGTGTGTCACTGTGTGTGTTTGTCACTGTGTGTGTGTCACTGTGTGTACTCTGTGTGTGTGTGTGTCACTGTGTGTGTGTGGACCCCCCTAATGGAACATCTTCGCCGGTTAGAAACATTTAGGCTGGCCTGCCTACGATCCATCCTGGGTTTAACCAGGCTGGATTGTGTGAGGAGCTCATAAATCCTTGAAAGATCTAGGCAAGGTCCCATCGGTGAGCTCCTCCGGCAGGCAAGGCTGCAATGGCTGGGTCATGTAGCCCGCATGCCCAGCCACCGCATGCCGAAACAGCTTTTGTTCGGCCGGATTGAGGGGGCTAAACGGGCGCGGCACGGGCTAGAGGAGAGATGGAGTGACGTGGTACAGGAGGACGTGGAGCTGAGTGGACTTGCCGATGACTGGTACCAGCGGTGTCAAGATCGGCCTCTGTGGAGGAGGCTCGTGAAGGATGCTACTGGGCAGTTGGAGGCAGTCGCCCTCCAACAACAACGGAGGGCGGAGGAGCGACGCTCACAACAACGAGCGGAGCGCCGGGTGGCTAAAGCACAGCAGGTTGGCACAGTAGGGGGCACAGGTGGTGCATCAGCCAGTCATCTCAGTCAGTCGACCCGTGGCACCTGGGTCTGCCGAGTGACCTCCTGCCAGCGGGCGTTCGACACTTCACGTGGCCTCAGGGTGCACATAGCCTGGCACAAGCGTCGTGGTGACGTCACCGCCACTTAGTGGCGAATGGCGGTTGTTGTGTGTGTGTGTGTATCACTGTGTGTGTGTGTATGTGTGTGTCTGTGTGTGTCACTGTGTGTCACTGTGTGTGTGTCACTGTGTGTGTGTCACTGTGTGTGTCACTGTGTGTCACTGTGTGTGTGTCACTGTGTGTGTGTCACTGTGTGTGTCACTGTGTGTGTGTCTGTGTGTGTGTGTGTCACTGTGTGTGTCACTATGTGTGTCTGTGTGTGTCACTGTGTGTCACTGTGTGTGTGTCACTGTGTGTGTGTCACTGTGTGTGTCACTGTGTGTCACTGTGTGTGTGTCACTGTGTGTGTGTCACTGTGTGTGTCACTGTGTGTGTGTCTGTGTGTGTGTGTGTCACTGTGTGTGTCACTATGTGTGTCACTATGTGTGTCACTGTGTGTGTGTCACTGTGTGTGTCACTGTGTGTGTGTCTGTGTGTGTGTGTGTCACTGTGTGTGTCACTATGTGTGTCACTATGTGTGTCACTGTGTGTGTCACTGTGTGTGCATGTGTCACTGCGTCACTGTGTGTGTCACTGTGTGTGTCACTGTGTGTGTAACTGTGTGTGTGTCACTGTGTATGTGTCACTGTGTGTGTGTCACTGTGTCACTGTGTGTGTCACTGTGTGTCACTGTGTGTGTCACTGTGTGTGTCACTATGTGTGTCACTGCGTCACTGTGTGTGTCACTGTGTGTGTGTGTCACTATCTTCGTGTATAGGTGCTGCTACTCGCTACTGCTGACAGCACTTGCCCCTACAGCCTGCTAGAGGCTACCTGGGGGAGCTTTGTCTGTGTGTAGGTGCAGCTACTACTGACAGCACTTGCCCCTACATCCTGCTAGAGGCTACCTGGGGGATCTTTGTCTGTGTGTAGGTGCTGCTACTACTGACAGCACTTGCCCCTACAGCCTGCTAGAGGCTACCTGGGGGAACTTTGTCTGTGTGTAGGTGCTGCTGCTACTAACAGCACTTGCCCCTACAGCCTGTTAGAGGCTACCTGGGGGAGCTTTGTCTGTGTGTAGGTGCTGCTGCTACTAACAGCACTTGCCCCTACACCCTGCTAGAGGCTACCTGGGGGAACTTTGTCTGTGTGCAGGTGCTACTCACAGCACTTGCCCCTACAGCCTCTGTGTGTCTGTGTGAGCTACCTGGGGGATCTTTGTTTTTGTAGATTTTGCTGGAGCAGGCACAGACTTCCATCAAGAATCAACTGCAGCGGTTTATCCTCGAGTAAGAAGAAGAACAACAGCCACAACAACAACTACCACAACAACAACCACCACAACAACAACAACAACAACCACAACAACAACAACCACAACAACAACAACCACAACAACAACCACAACAACCACAACAACAACAACAACCACAACAACAACCACAACAACAACAATCACAACAACAATCACAACAACAACCACAACAACCACAACAACAACTACCACAACAACAACCACAACAACCACAACAACCACAACAACAACAACAACTACCACAACAACAACCACAACAACAACCACAACAACAACAACAACAACAACCACAACAACAAGCACAACAACAACTACCACAACAACAACCACAACAACAACAACCACAACAACAACTACCACAACAACAACCACAACAACAACCACAACAACAACTACCACCACAACAACTACCACAACAACAACCACAACAACAACAACCACAACAACAACTACCACAACAACAACCACAACAACAACAACCACAACAACAACTACCACAACAACAACCACAACAACAACCACAACAACAACTACCACAACAACAACCACAACAACAACAACAACTACCACAACAACAACTACCACAACAACAACCACAACAACAACAACTACCACAACAACAACCACAACAACAACCACAACAACAACCACAACCACAACAACAACAACCACAACAACAACCACAACAACAACTACCACAACAACAACCACAACAACAACCACAACAACAACTACCACAACAACAACCACAACAACAACCACAACAACTACCACAACAACAACTACCACAACAACAACCACAACAACAACAACCACAACAACAACTACCACAACAACAACCACAACAACAACAACCACAACAACAACTACCACAACAACAACCACAACAACAACAACCACAACAACAACTACCACAACAACAACCACAACAACAACAACAACAACTACCACAACAACAACCACAACAACAACTACCACAACAACCACAACAACAACAACCACAACAACAACAACCACAACAACAACCACAACAACAACAACCACAACAACAACTACCACAACAACTACCACAACAACAACCACAACAACAACTACCACAACAACAACCACAACAACAACCACAACAACAACTACCACAACAACAACCACAACAACAACTACCACAACAACTACCACAACAACAACCACAACAACAACTACCACAACAACAACCACAACAACTACCACAACAACAACTACCACAACAACAACCACAACAACAACCACAACAACAACCACAACAACAACAACCACAACAACAACCACAACAACAACCACAACAACTACCACAACAACCACCACAAAAACCACAACAACAACTACCACAACAACAACCACAACAACAACAATCACAACAACAGTCAACAACAACAGTCAACAACAACGACAACAACAACCACAACAACAACAATCACAACAACAATCACAACAACCACCACAACAACCACAACAATAATAACAACAACCACCACAACAACCACAACAACAACTACCACAACACCAACCACAACAACAACAATCACAACAACAATCACAACAACAACCACAACAACAACTACCACAACAAGAACAACCACAGAACAAGCACAACAACAACCACAACAACCACAACAACCACCACAACAACAACCACAACAACAACCACAACAACAACCACAACCACAACAACCACAACAACCACAACAACAACCACAACAACCACAACAACAACCACAACAACAACCACAACAACCACAACACCAACCACAACAACAACCACAACAACAACCACAACAACAACCACAACAACAACAACATCAAACACAACAACAACCACAGCAACAACAACCACAACAACAACCACAGCAACAACAACCACAACAACAACCACAACCACAACAGCAACAACAACCACAACAACCACAACAACAACCACAACAACAACAACAACCACCACAACAACCACAACAACAACAACAACAATCACAACAACAACCACAACAACAACCAAAACAACCACAACAACCACAACAACCACCACAACAACCACAACCACAACAACAACCACAACAACAACCACAACAACCACAACAACAACCACAACCACAAGAACAACAACCACAACCACAAGAACAACAACCACAACAACAACCACAACAACCACCACAACAAACAACCACAACCACAACAACAACCACCACAACAAACAACCACAACAACCACCACAACAAACAACCACAACAACCACCACAACCACCACCACAACCACCACAACCACAACCACCACAACACCCATCACATCCTCAACACAACCATCACCACCACTACAAAAACCACCCCTCCCCACCCACCCACCCACCCTCTCACCCACTCACCCACCCACCCACTCTCTCACCCACCCACTCACCCACCCACCCACCCACTCACTCACCCACTCACTCACCCACCCACTCACCCACCCACCCACCCCCCCAACCCCCCACCCACCCACCCCCCCACCCACCCACCCACCCACCCACTCACCCACCCACTCACCCACCCACCCACCCACTCACTCACCCACTCACTCACCCACTCACTCACTCACTCACCCACACACCCACTCACTCACTCACCCACCCACCCACCCACTCACTCACTCACTCACCCACCCACCCACCCCCCCACCCACTCACCCACCCCCCCACCCACCCCACCCACCCCCCCCCCCACCACAGCGACGTGAAAGCGCTCCGTGAGTCCCGTCGCATGCTGCTGAGGGTGAGTGATGAGCTGGATTCCTCCCTGGGCCGCCACCTGGGCCTCTCGGCCTCCCGGGCCGCTCGCCCACACGAGGCCGAGGAGGCCGCTGGGGCCGTCGCCGCAGCACGGAAGTGCCAGAGGCACGTCGCCCTTCACTTCCTGTTACAGGTGGGGGGGAGGTGGGTGGGTGGGTGGGTGGTGGGTGGGTGGGTGGGTGAGTGGGTGAGTGGGTGAGTGAGTGGGTGAGTGGGTGAGTGAGTGGGTGAGTGAGTGAGTGAGTGGGTGGGTGAGTAAAGTGGGTGAGTGAGTGGGTGAGTGAGTGAGTGAGTGAGTGGGTGAGTGAGTGGGTGAATGATTGGGTGAGTGGGTGAGTGAGTGGGTGAGTGAGTGGGTGAGTGAGTGGGTGAGTGGGTGGGTGGGTGGGTGAGTGGGTGAGTGAGTGGGTGGGTGGGTGAGTGGGTGAGTGAGTGGGTGGGTGGGTGAGTGAGTGAGTGGGTGAGTGAGTGGGTGAGTGAGTGAGTGGGTGGGTGGGTGGGGGGGTGGGTGAGTGAGTGGGTGAGTGGGTGGGTGGGTGGGTGAGTGGGTGGGTGTGTGGGGGGGTGGGTGAGTGGGTGAGTGAGTGGGTGAGTGGGTGGGTGGGTGAGTGGGTGGGTGGGTGAGTGAGTGACTGGGTGGGTGAGTGAGTGGGTGGGTGGGTGGGTGAGTGAGTGGGTGAGGTGAGTGGGTGGGTGAGTGAGTGAGTGAGTGGGTGGGTGAGTGAGTGGGTGGATGGGTGAGTGGGTGGGTGAGTGGGTGAGTGGGTGGGTGAGTGAGTGGGTGAGTGGGTGAGTGAGTGGGTGGGTGAGTGAGTGGGTGGATGGGTGAGTGGGTGAGTGAGTGAGTGGGTGAGTGAGTGAGTGAGTGGGTGAGTGAGTGAGTAGGTGAGTGAGTGGGTGGGTGAGTGAGTGGGTCAGTGGGTGGGTGAGTGGGTGGGTGAGTGGGTGATTGAGTGGGTGAGTGAGTGGGTGAGTGAGTGGGTGAGTGGTGGGTGGGTGGGTGAGTGAGTGAGTGAGTGGGTGGGTGGGTGAGTGGGTGAGTGGGTGGGTGAGTGAGTGGGTGGGTGAGTGGGTGGGTGAGTGGGTGGGTGAGTGAGTGGGTGAGTGAGTGGGTGGGTGAGTGGGTGGGTGAGTGGGTGAGTGAGTGGGTGAGTGGTGGGTGGGTGGGTGAGTGGGTGAGTGAGTGGGTGGGTGGGTGAGTGAGTGACTGGGTGGGTGAGTGAGTGGGTGGGTGGGTGAGTCGGTGAGTGGGTGAGTGAGTGAGTGAGTGGGTGGGTGAGTGAGTGGGTGAGTGAGTGGGTGGGTGGGTGGGTGGGGGGGTGGGTGAGTGAGTGGGTGAGTGGGTGAGTGGGTGAGTGGGTGAGTGGTTGGGTGAGTGAGTGGGTGAGTGGGTGAGTGAGTGAGTGGGTGGGTGAGTGAGTGGGTGGATGGGTGAGTGGGTGGGTGAGTGGGTGAGTGGGTGGGTGAGTGAGTGGGTGAGTGGGTGAGTGAGTGGGCCGGTGAGTGAGTGGGTGGATCGGTGAGTGGGTGAGTGAGTGAGTGGGTGAGTGAGTGAGTGGGTGAGTGGGTGGGTGAGTGAGTGAGTAGGTGAGTGAGTGGGTGGGTGAGTGAGTGGGTCAGTGGGTGAGTGGGTGGGTGGGTGGGGGGGTGGGTGAGTGGGTGGGTGGGTGAGTGGGTGGGTGGGTGAGGGGGTGGGTGGGTGAGTGGGTGAGTGAGTGAGTGGGTGGGTGGGTGGGGGGGTGCGTCAGTGGGTGGGTGGGTGAGTGGTTGAGTGAGTGATTGGGTGAGTGGGTGAGTGGGGGGGTGGGTGAGTGGGTGAGTGAGTGGGTGAGTGAGTGGGTGGGTGACTGAGTGAGTGGGTGAGTGGGTGGGTGGGTGAGTGGGTGGGTGAGTGAGTGGGTGAGTGAGTGATTGGGTGAGTGGGTGAGTGGGGGGGTGGGTGGGTGAGTGGGTGAGTGGGTGGGTGGGTGGGTGAGTGGGTGGGTCGGTGGGTGGGTGAGTGAGTGGGTGAGTGGGTGAGTGAGTGGGTGGGTGAGTGAGTGGGTGGATGGGTGAGTGGGTGGGTGAGTGGGTGAGTGGGTGGGTGAGTGAGTGGGTGAGTGGGTGAGTGAATGGGTGGGTGGGTGAGTGAGTGGGTGGATGGGTGAGTGGGTGGGTGAGTGGGTGAGTGGGTGGGTGAGTGAGTGGGTGAGTGAGTGGGTGGGTGAGTGAGTGGGTGGGTGAGTGAGTGGGTGAGTGAGTGGGTGGGTGGGTGGGTGAGTGGGTGAGTGAGTGAGTGGGTGAGTGAGTAAGTGAGTGTATGA